TGACTCCGATTATTTCTAGTGAGATTTAGTACTTTCAGAAGTAATTTTAAACTTTATTGAATCGACTAAACACTTTCCGAAGTGACTCAAAACTCTTCTGAAGTTAATCATTGTTTTGCGAAATTATTGAAATCATTTAGAAAGTGATTCAGTACTTTCTTAAGTGAGTCCGAACGTTTTTTTAAAAGTAATTCAGTACTTTCCTAGAGTTATTCAGTATTTTTTAAAGTACTGAATCACTTCAGAAGTGTTCAGGATTTTTCGAAGTGATTCTGTACTTTTCGAAGTGATTCATTGTTTTCCAAAGTGGCGTTAAACTTTATTGAACTGGATCATGCTAGTGTGAATTTTACAATACTTTTCTTCAAGCTGCTTTAAGCGATTCCATACTTATGACTGGTAGTGTTTTCAAGTGATTCCTATCTTATCAAGTCTAGTTCACTTCATATTCAAGTGATTCCAAACTTTTCTGTTCTGATTTACTTCATATTCAAGAGATTATTCTCAGCACTGATTCACTTCATGTTCAAGCGATTTCAATCTTTTCAGATCCGATACATTTGACATATTTGCATGCACACTAGTGCCTAGTAGTGACATAATTCCGAAACGAGCTAAGCACTATCCGCTCAGCCATGACCTTCTTCACTTCACGAGATAAAATAATTGACAAAATTGCTCAAAGTTGCATACACACTAGCAAAACGTATTGACAGAATTTTGAACAATACTAGCCATCTTCTGGATGCCGTTGGTCTTCTAAAAAACTTTGCTGAAAACTCCAACTTTCTATCAGTTCGGAAGCACGAGATAAAATAATTACAAAAATGCTCGATTTTTCATGCACACTAGCGCCTCGCAGTGATATAATTCCAAACCAAGCTGTGTACCTTCTGAACGCCCTCGGTCTTTTAAACAACTTTACTGAAGACTCGAATTTTCTAGGTGGTTGGGATCACAAGATAAAACAATTATAATATGCTCATAGTGAGAGAATTCCGAACTATACCGACCATCTTCCGAACACCGTTGGTCTTCTGAACAACTTTGCTGAAGGTTTGAACTTTATAGGTCGTCGTGAGCACGAGATAAAAAAAAATAAAAAAATGCTCAATTTTACAGGCACACTAGTGCCACGTAGTGTCAGAATTTCGAACCAAATTATTCACTTTCCAGACGCCCTTGGCCTTCTGAACAACTTTGCTAAAGACAGCACCTTTGCAGATAATCAGGATTTTGACTTTTTGAGAGGTGATGTAATATTCAAATAAGTGTTGCAATACTTTTTAAAGCAATTCCATATTTATGAGTGGTAGTGTACCTTTTGTTATTTAAGGTGTGCTTGAATTTGAAAATAGACCAGGATATCCAAGGGTGGTTAAGGCGGCACTGATCTTGTTTAACTATTTTTGTCAGTTTTGTAGTGTCCATAGTTTTAAATATTCAAGCGGCACCGGTGGTGCAGTGGTAAGCGTGATTGCTTCTCACCCCAAAAGGCCTTGGCTCAATCTCAGTTGGCGCCGCCGGGATTTTCTGAGGCATAACATCGCTGATCACGCCTTCGGAAGGGAAGTAAAGCCGTTGGTCCCCGGTTCATGAGTTGATAGGTCGATAGGTAGAGTCCAGGAGTGGGAGCTGCCTCTCTGGCGTCGGTAGCATTGGTACTCAGTACGGAAAACAAGATCGACGGAAAGCAAATCAAGGAAAAAAGAATAGTTTTAAATATTTATTTAGATTGTATTTTTATGAGCTTTTCCTAAAAAATATATATAACAATTTAAGATGTAGTTCTTGAGATATTAGAGCTTTTAACACTTTATTTGAATTTTTACTCAAAATTACTAAAAAAATACCATGTATATTTTTTCCACAAAGGATTTATTTCGATCAAAAATTACGTTTTCGTGCTACAATTTATTAAGAACTGTCAATGCCATCATTTTGAAAAATTAGAACAACCAAAATGACCGAATTTATTTATAAAATGTGAATGATTGCCCATAACACCTAATTATGCAGTTTTATGCAAATCGACTTAGGTAGTGTTTTTCCGATTCATCATTTGGTGTGGAACTGCTAATTTTAAAATGAGTATCTTCTTCTTCTTCTTCTTCACATTTCAAGCTTATTGCATATCGCATATTAGCTTATTACGTGCTCTCAACTTAGTGTTCTAGATGCACTTCCACAGTTATTAATTGAGAGCTTTCGATGCCTGTACCATTTTTGCATTGATATAATTGTGTGGCAAGTCCAATCATACTTCAACCCTAAAAATTCCTAGACCGGACTGGGAATCGAACCCAGCCACCTCCAGCATGGTCTTGCTTTGTAGCTGCGCCTTTACCAACTGAGCTAAGGGAGGCCCCTGAGTATGCCGCTGGGATTAAACGATCGTCAGCCGAAGTGTTTTGCTGTTATGTCCGGGGCTCGGTGGCTTATTGGCGATCGGTTTTGCCTACTGCGTTTTAATTCTTTATCAAGCTTTAAAGCAAAGCATCACTTAACAAAGTGAATTTAGATCTAATTTACCTTTCTTACTGACAAAGACGCTCCCAATGCAGCAGTGGAAATGCAGAAGTGTACTCGATCTCTAATAGAATGTCGAGGTAAAAATCTTTATCCTACCCGATGACCGTAAGGACGTGGCCGGCGCCGCCACAAGGTAAGCTCATTCCATGTTCCAAGTGCAATCATCATACCTCAAGCGAGGTTTATACTTGATTTTTCCGATTGTTGGATGGTAATTTCTACGAGTTTCGGCTATACAGTCTGGCGAGTTCAAACGATAGGTTTTTAACTGCCCAACGTTTCGGTTGTTTTTGGCAGCCTTCTTCAGGGGAAACTGGAAGGGTTTCATGTTTATTAGCATTAGTTTTAACATACCATTATCGTACTTAGTTCTAACAGTTACGTTCAATACATTGATTTGCAATTTGGCTTGTCTCATCTGCTTTTTTTATTTTCTATGAAATGAATGGTTATTGGTTTAGCTATAATGCTATAAATCTATAGCTATGTTAGTTTACGGTTGTGGGTGTTTTTGGTTAAATCGCACAGTTAGAGAGTGTCCGTGGCCAGTGATGAATAGCAAGCGCGATGTAACCAAAAACACCCACAACCGTAGGCTAACATAGCTGTAGCTTTATAGCATTATAGCTCAACCAATTATCATTCCTTCCATAGAAAATCAAAAAATCAGATGATACAACCTACATTGCAAATCAATGTATTGAACGTTACTGATAGAACTAAGTACGATGCTGGTATGATATGTGTTAAAACTAATGCTAATAAACATGAAACCCTTCCAGTTTCTCCTGAAGAAGACTCTAAAAACAGCCGAAACGTTGGGCAGTTAAAAAACTATCGTTTGGACTCGCCAGACTGTATAACCGAAACTCGTAGAAATGTGTAGGTTTTGTTATGGAATTTTATGGACATAAGCTAAATAGTCATAGTTCAATGATTATCGCCAGTTGGTCAAAGTGATATCTCTCTGGTTTCCTAATGGAAATAAGACTCAACTCTCGCAAAAAGTTCAATCAGTTCTGCTGTAAAGATTTTCCTTTTGAGAATTCAACGTTCCAAAAAATGATCTCCACTTGTATTTCTAACTTGTCTTTCGTCCTTCCGTAAATTTGAACTACTTTTTCACACAGCAGCAGCAGAAAATCTTATTCCAGTAAGCCAATCCAAAAACAGCAATAGAACTTTCTCTCAAATATCAAATAACTGCATTATCCTATATATGTCTCGAGCGTGCACACACACACACAAACGGCACACATTCTTCGCCAAACTTCCGAATCACTTCCCGTCACATGCACATATCCCGCTGCGTGATAAAGTTGAACGAGGAGAATTCGCTTTTCGGTGCAACCCAGCGCCGGTTTGACAAAAAAGCACTTATCTATTCTTCCTGTTTCTGACCCCCTGCACTGTACTGACTGACTGGGATCCCACCATCATCGTCTTCGAATTACGACAGAGCACATACGTCGACGACACCGGCGACGTCGTCGGGAGCAAGCAACGTAACTTTAATCCACTTGAAATCTCCTTACGTCTCCCATTCCTTCGACAGTCAACTTTGGCCAACTACCTACCTACCTACCTCCCTTCCGGCCGACACCGAAAATCGCACAATAAAACTTGACACCGAAAAGGGGAGCGTCCCGAGAGAGATGTCTTTGAACTTGATGCACAACAACACTTATTGCTCAGAGCTAGAATTTTGAGATGGTAGGTACTTTGATTTCCGATGGGAATCCGATGACGGCGACAGTGGATGCTGAGTGGCTTCAGAGAAGTGATAGGTTTTCACCTCACGTCATTGATTGTAATTCCCGAACCGGAGCGCAGGGGTGGTGAATACTGCACGGGGCGGGCAAAACAAAGGATTTATTTAAGTTTTATAATGGAAAGGTCTTCCATAATAGAACCACATTCAACCCAAATCTGAGTGCAAAGTTGGTGATTCCTAAATTACTTTTGAATTAAATTCGCTCTAACCAGTGTAAACGGTTCGCTTTTTGCACTTGGGAAACAGTTCTAGTGGTGGCTATAGCAGATGGTGATGGCTCTATTTACGTCATGCAATTGTGTGTGACTCAATTACACCCGAGTGTTTGAAGATGACAAAACGATTCACGTAGTACTTGATTGTGGGAAGTCTCGATAATAGCTTCCCCTTGCAAGAAACTGGGATTCTCTCGTGCAAAAATGCAACCACATACAGTGTAGTACGAAGTAGTTTGTATGACACTTATTTCAGCGAACAACATCCATCATTCCGGCACTGCGGTCCGGATGGACGCAGAGAGAGAAAAAAATACTAGCAAAAGCTTCCGAAGACCTTTTCCTGGAATCCTTGCAAAGGTGCGAGAGCAAAGAGACTGTATATACCTCCCCAACCATGACACGGAAATTTATCAACGACAAGTGAGTGATGGAGCAAAGTGCATCATTCGGTGGATGTTTTTTTTGGTTTGGTTTATTTAGTGCTATTATTACCAGCAGTGTGATATGAGGACGGTGGTGAATTGTGGATACAGCGAAGAGTGAACTGACTGATACTCAGCGGAAGAAATAAGGTTCAAGGAAAGACATCAATCAGGATCACTGCCATTACACTGGGTTCTCAATTAGGAGCAGATTGGTTTTCATATAATTTTGATGGTGTGTCATTTTACAGTATTCTTTGTGTCAAGCTGTCAAGAATGTGTAGCACAGATCTAATCGTTAATTACTTTCGATTAATGAAATGAAACTCATCGCGTAATTAGCAGTTTATGTCGTATCGTGTCCAATGTTTACCGTCACTGTTTGTTTATAAGTGCCATTCAATACCACATTCTTTACTTGTTCGCTGGAATGCCATCTAAAAACCCGTCATGGCCACACGATGCTTTCGATCCAATCGATGTAGCTAGCAACTCGGGTGTAGATTGCTGGAGTGTTCTCTTCACCACACATTACTCCGGTTGATGTAATTCCCACAACGTAGAAGGTACAATCCGCCATATGTGTAAGCACCTGTATCGGTCCTCCGGAGTCACCCTGGCAGGTATCCCGTCCGCCTTCCTTGCTTCCAAAGCACAGCTGGTGTTCAATGACTCCTTGGCGAAACTTCCGATTATTACGGTACACTGCCTGACATGTGTGTCGATCCAGCTCCTCCAGCGTTACCTTGCGGAGCGTGTTGGACATCGTGCCACCTAGAACGAATCACACACTGTTCATGGATAAATCTGCGAAAATGTCCTGCTTGGAAGCACTAACCTGCAAACATTGTGTGTCCAAAACCCGTTGCAATGACCGACGTTGCATTCAATTGGGTCGAATCCCACATGCATGCCGGGCGGATGTAGTCCGAGAAGATAACCTTTTGCTTCAGCTTGATCAAGGCAATATCATGATAGGACTTAACAAACGAGTAGTTTCTATGGCGGGTGATACTTGCGATATCGAAATCGACTTGATTGTCGTACTCATCGGCCAGGTTCAATTCAGCCATGCGTACCACGACCGGTGGTTGATTATCGCGCACCGTACAATGTGCTGCAGTCAGCACGTATTGCTCGCTGATCAAAGAAGCACCACAGCGGAAATCGTATTTGTCAGGATCTTGCGTGCTCCATCCGAGCAGAGCCTGATGTGGGAACTCTCGTTCCTTGGCGTTCTCACCACCGACAATCAGGTCGACCGTGCGGCTACAGTTGAATGCTTCATACTCGATCGGTGTTGGGTCCAGGACAAGCGGGATAGCATATGTTCTTATTTTCATCCGACTGCGATACTCTTCGCATTCTGTGTTGCGTGTTGAGAGATATTCTGTGAGATTTGCGTGACAAATTTTACTTGAAGGTTGTTTACTTACTTATCTGGGAAATTCTTCGCTGGCCTTGACACGAGGAAAGGAATTATGAATGGATTAACTTACGATCTTTACAGCGGGTGCGATAATATGCAAATGCGTTACCTTTTATAAGCTGGCAAGTAGCAAGTAGCAACAGCAGTGTAACAACAGTGCGATGCATTGTGATGTCTGGAAGGGTTGGTGTTGAACTAAGCTATCTGGAAGAAACCAGTGGCGTTTTAAAGGGTAATTCTTGCGGCTGTTTGATGCAAACTTTTTGCTTCTTTATCGATGGTCACGTAGTCGATGTTTTGGGTAAATCACGGGGAATTCCCAGGATGAAAGTTCAGGGCACATGTGATCCAACCACAATGCAATACCATGTAATCGAGAAGATTTTTCTAACATCACTCGATAGATTGGATTTGTTTAAATAAGACTTTCATGAGGCCCTAGACCAGTAAAGATACGGAATTCCATGCAAGAGATTTGAGTTTGAGAAAGAATCTTAGTTCGGTCTTATTGATTTGAAAATATTCTCGACTTTCGTGAACATAGAGTATCCAAGTGGAGTAGGAATTTGAACCTTCATTTTGTTTGTTTATTTGATTATTTGTTTATTAATAATTCAACTGACAATTAATATCTTATTATTACATTAAATTTATTTATTTTTGTATTTGATAGTTTTTATCGTTTTCTAATTGGGTGGTTTTCTTTTTGTTCTTTCTGTTTCTTTTTTTCTTCATTTGTCACCTGGACCTACCTATCGACCCATCAACTCATGCACTGGAGATCAAAGCTTTACTTCCCCTACGTGATCAGAGATTTTATGCCTCATAAAATCCCGACGGCACCGACTGTGATTGAAAACAGGCCCTTTGGAGTGTGAGGCAATCACGCTTACAATTTCACCACTGCTGCAACTTGTCCTCTTGCCATTCGATCTTTTATCTCTCGATGTTTCGTCTTTCGACCTTTTGTCTTTCGACCTTTTGTCTTTCGACCTTTTGTCTTTCGACCTTTTTTATTTCGACCTGTTTTTCTTTCGACCATTTGTCTTTCGACCTTTTGTCTTCAGACCATTTGTCTTTCAACTTTTCCGCATCGACCTTTTGTCTGTCGATCTTTTGTTTAACCCCAGGATTGAGCTCTCACAAGCATGCTTGGCATGCATAGTTGTACACACCAACTGCTCATTTGATAATAACTTTTCACTCAGTTGTTGAAATTTGTTTTTCTTTAAAGTAATTGATAGATTAGGATCAGGCTGCCTTGCATTAATTTTGACTAAAAAAATGTTTTAAGAAATTATGGAATAGTAAGATATTATGAAAATATTTTGATTATGTAAAAAACAAGAAAAGATTGTTATAAGTTTGTGTTTGACACATAATACCAGCCAATTTTTCTACATGAGATTCGCAATAAGCGATTTTGTAATTTATCTCACCCACTCTTCACTCTTCACTCTTCGCGAAGAGGCGATTAGAAAAACGCTCATGGTGATTCTGTCAAAGCTAAATTTGCAGGTTTGATGTGTGAAACACAAACTTTACAAACTTTTCTTATTACTTACTTATACAAAATATCATCATAATATCTTATTATTCCATAATTTCATAAAACATTATTTTAGTCAAAATGAATGAAAGGCACCCTGATTAGGATCATAGTTTACTATAGATATGTATAGGGTAGGTAAATCTTAACTTTTCAATCAACACCAATTTCTACACTTAAAGCCCGAGATGTGCAGCGAGCATTTCTCACTTAATTTTTACAACGCAAAAACAAATACAGTTTATTACTAGAATTAAAATCTACTTGGTTTACGTATCTATAAGAAGCTCAAACTATATTATATCTACTGCTTCAAAAAGAAATATGATTCATCAAATGTGTGCAAAGTGATTAGCAAATGAGCAGTTCGTGGCCAAAGCTGTGTATGCCAAGCATGCTCACGTCAGTCCCAGAAGGTCTAAAAGAAATCTGGACGATATTTTGTTCATAACTCGGTTAATGTTTCCTATGTCGATGTCCTTAATAATTTAGTTGGAACTCTATGGAGTTATTTTCCATTTGAGTTTCTCAGAGTTTTTTTTTCCAAAATTTCGGAAGAATAATTGAGGTACTCTCATTTATGGACTTTTCTCCATAAATCTATTGGAATTTGCTCATCAATTTTTCTTTCGCATTCTCGTATGAAAACATACAATATTTTTACCAAAATTCCCCTAATATTGCTCCTACACACCCTCTAGAATAATCATGGAAATCTTGGCAGAATTTTCATGAAAATCTACTTGGAGTTGTTAAAGAATTTTCTTGCCCAAGGAACTCTCCTCAGCATTCCCTAATATTTCAAAATTTGCTTAGAGTTCTCCCAGAAATCCATTAACATTCCTCGGACAATTCTCTTGGAGTTGTCCTCAGAATTCCCTTGAAATATTCCCAGGAGTTAATCAATAGTCAACATACTTAGGGCCTCCCTTAGCTCAGTCGGTAAAGGCGCAGCTACAAAGCAAGACCATGCTGGACGTGGCTGGGTTCGATTCCCGGGCCGGTCTATAAATTTTTCGGGTTGGAAAATGTCTCGACTTTCCTGGGCATAGAAGTATGATTGGACTTGCCACACAATTATACCAATGCAAAAATGGTATAGGCATCGAAAGCTGTCAATTAAAAACTGTAGAAGTGCATCTAGAACACTAAGCTGAGAGAACGCAATAAGCTAATATGCGATATGCAATAAGCTTGAAATGTGAAGAAGAAGAAGATACTTAGAATAAATTTGAAATTTTCCTCGTGATTCCCTTGCATCTATTCTCTGAATATCAGAATTGCAGTTCAAGTGTTCACTCGGCTGTCGACAAAAGCAGGCCACTCTCGATGCGTGCTACGCGATCGTCTGTTTACTCGGCAGCAACCATTGTGTGGTCCTCCTCATTGTTCTTCATCAGCAGTTCTTTCGGTCGATGCGTCGTCGACTTTGGAAAGCAACCGTTTCGTGATAAGTGTGTGAGTGCTGACCACGTTTTGCGTCCATTGCTGCAATGGACGCACTCTGACCCTCGTTGGCGTACAACAATTTGCCATACAATGAAACTACTGGAAGCGGCTCCAGTTCTGATGGAGGAGGCTTTTTGGATAGCGGAAGATAAGGTGTTTATTGTGTTGTACCTTTTGACTATAGCTTTAAGATGTATTGTATAGTGGCCATGAATCCTCGGCTCTGTTAAGTTAATTCGGTTGAGCCTTATCAAATAAATTAATATACAAAAAGAATTGCAGTTATCCTTAGAATTGTCTTGGAACTATTCTCAGATTCGGAGTCCTTTTGAATTGTTATCAGAATTCACTTGGAATTCTAGTTAGGATACCAACTATCAATGTGGCCATGCCCAAGTAACATTGCAGGTTTTATTGCGGTTTTATAGCACTCTACAAGTCTATAACATAGTCTACAGAACCCTCATAAAACCAACATTGTTACTTGGCTGATTTAGAATTATAGCATTCCTCATAATCTCAACTTGCAACTTATGTGGGTTAAGTTTGGAATTTTTTCAAACTTGCCCTAGAGTTCTTGGTGGAATATTCATTAGGGGTTCTTTAGAATTATAGTCCGAATTATTATCAGAATTTTCCTTTAAATTCTGCTCAAAGTTATATTGAAATTCGACTCCAAATTTGTTGAAATCGTTCTCAAAATACCGGTGAATTTTATTGCTAACACTCTGTTGGAATTCTTCTAAGAATTATTCTGGAATTCTCAAAATAAGCTCTATGGAATTTTCCTCTGAAATAATGAGTCACAACTTTTTAACTCTACTCATTCTCCTATTCCCTAGAAACTCCTCAGAATTCTCAAAGTAATCTCCACTATGAATGCTGTCAAAAATTCATATCCTCCTTCAAATTTCTTTGGAACTATTTGCGTATTCGATTGGGATTTTATCACAGTTCGCTTGAAATTCATGTCACACTTTCTTTGGTTTTCCAGCCGGGATTTTTTTTTTAAATTATGGTTCCTTTGAAATTGTCATTAAAGTGTCGCTTTGAATACTCCTTTGATTTCTCTTGAAATTTTCCTCTGAATTTTCCCTGTTCTTATCGAAATCCTTTGAAAATGCTTCCAAATCCACGTGTCTTGACAATTTTCCACGTCCCAGATTCTTGATGTCTTCTTCAAATTTCGGTGGAAATTATTGACACTGAATATTCCTATAAGTCTTGGGCATATTTATCTACTTGACAAAATTCAAGATTTATTAAGATTCTTAAACAATTTTTATGTCAAAAATTCTAAAAATAAGTTGTTATTGCTGGGGAGATTTGTCCATCTCTCTTGCCCCCGTCGCACAGTGAGGCCGTTCTGAAAAAAAGACGGTCAAAAGTCTTTTCTCATCATTTTTGACGTTTTCGAGGGTAGGTTTCTTCGGAGAAGTTTCTGAGAATGGCGATCCGTTGCTTTTGAAACAAACACCGGGTTTAATATTGAGGGGGTATTACACTTAGAAAAACTAACTTTTTTTTACAAACGAGATAGACATATGACGTCTTCAGCAAAGTTGTAGATCTAATTATTTCATGAAGGTTTGCCGAAGACACCAAATTTCTGTATCTTCAAACTAATGAGATATAATCATTTTTTTTTTCAGGAGTACCCTTAAACTGGTTTTTTAAGTTAAATCATATTTTAATCAAGTTTGACCGGTTCATTATATTCGAGAAAGTTTTAGATATCATCAAAATACAAAACTTTTCTCAAGACGTCAACAACATTTATTGACTCTTGTTTGCTGTACTGTGATTTTGAAGGAAAAAATCATCAACTTTAGAAAAAAAAAATAAAAAAAAAAATGAATGTTTGTGAAATAGCACTAAGCGGCATTGAGTTTGTTATAACTTTGAGCATACGTGTAGAAAAAGTTAGCTTCGGGAACCCTCAGGAACAAAATTTATACAGCTTTTTGATACAGCAGTTTTTACCATATATTCTGCATTATTCTCATATAGTTCTTTGTGTAAATAGATCCAATCATGTAAATATTAAAAAAATATTAAATATTAGTATTAAATATTAGTTAGAATGATCAGATGATCCATCGAAACCCCATTTGGATAGAAGTTCCAGGTCTTCACTGGTTTCCGGAATATCTAGCAAAAAGATGCGTTTGACAGTATGGTCCATCAAAGATTGAAGCTGAGTTTCAGCAGATATTTATGATACCGTTATATTCTCTGGGAGACATCTTTCACGAGCTTGAATTAATCTTTTATACGACAGGTAAATCTGTGCCACATTGCATTGCCTTGCTGTATTGCGTAATAAGGTTCATTGGTCCTTAGAGAAGTCCCCATCAATAAATAAAGACAAACCTTCATCTTCAGTCATAGATCGCTCACATTTGGAATCATTGTGTGACTTCCAAGACTGTCGTTTTTCAGAACGGCCCCACTGTGCGTCGTCCACAGAATAATTTCAAATGAAATTAAGGTCGCGGAAAAGTTTTTAAGCAGATATTCTTTAAATTCGTCATGCACAGTGGGCAAAACTCGACAAAAGATACCCTTAATTAATTTTCTCGAAACGCAACCGGTTGAATATGAAAAGGCCTGAGATTGAACGATTTTCTGCTTAGTAAGCAAACACGGTGACACGCAACGTGGACAGATCACCTCTTCGTGGTGCGTTACCGCGCATGATCTACCAACGACCCTATTCGTGACTACTTCAAATTAGGGGAACAGAATTTTTCAGCAATCAAAGGGACACATCTTAGTCTTTGTTACGTTTTATGCCTTGTTAATAGTGATAAGAACTGAGTTGCACCACCGAGGATGATCTTGAAATAAGTCAAAAATGGGCTAGCCTTCAGCTATGTGAATCCGAATCGTCTATTCGTTGTTTGGTGTGGTTAAGGCTAGGGTTCTGATGCATGGGCATTATCGGTGTGATTGCTTGATTTTGTCGTCAAGATATCCGTTATTGACTGACAGTATGGTGCGTCTTTGGAGGTTGTTTTCACTATTTCACTAAATCAAAACCGAATAGTTCATCATTTCTCAATAGTGATGGAGTAATACGACATGCACTAAAATAACATGGGATATACTGTAATGTATAAAAAAATTTGTCATACTGAATTTATGTTCCGAACAGTGGAAATAAAATGCAAAAATGGTCGCTTTTAGGCCACCGAGCCCCTCACATTCGAGTTTTTCTCGGCTTGCTGATTTGTGCTATGAAACGTACTTGTCACGAGCGGCAGAGTAATCAAAAGCATTAGATTTCAAGAGGTATTTAGTGGGAATGACTGTACATTGTAGTTGAAAGACGTAACTTTCATGGATATGAAATACTAAGTGGACTTACAATCACTTTTGTTTCTGCTCATATGAGTATTCCACAACCCAATTAATCACATAGTCGAGCAGTTTTAAGATGATTTTCTACCAGACATTTTCGGATAGATCTAGATTCACGAGATTACAGAAGAAAAGATCTAAAAATATTGATCCACGGCAGGCTTGATGGAGTCTCGCTCGCGAGTTCGAAATGATCCGAGCGTAGCATTTTTCTGAGGAGTAGAATGCCTACTGCCAAATTATTCCAATGAGCTTCAGAGCTTGTGAGCGAAGGGAGATAAAATGAGAGTGAGGTTTGCTGCCATTCATGTTCATGTTTTCTATTACACGCTCTTACTATCACTCTGGGTGAACTCTGAGCTTCTTGCGTCGAACAAAAAAGTCATCCGGAGTCTCGAAAAGCGCACCTTACGTCTGAGGGCTGGCTAAACTCGCAGGACAAGAGTGTTTTAAAACCTCCAGTGAGTTTGAGGAGTTTAGCAAGCCTGATCCACAGCATAGTTCAAATGGTAGCAAACTTAATTTAAAACTGCTCGAATGATTTGACCAATCCATAAATTCTATTCCCTACAACATTAACTCTTACCGAGTAGCACGCTTTCATCACAATAAGTTACAGCAACTTGTTTATGACTGAAATAAGTCGTATATAAGTTTCTACAATTTATTTGTGACAAGCGTACTACTAGGGTTGTTTTACGCATTAAGCATAAATTAGTTAAGATACGGTCGATAAGCATACGTGCTTGGGTGGTTCAAAATATTGATTTTGCTCAAAGCTAGATTTTCAAATCAGGTCCTGATAATTCTCCTCAAATTTGAGGTTATTTAGTTGCGATTTCATATCGCCTGGCCCTTCAAAGTTTATATGGACATTACTATGGGAAAAGTGAACTTTTTGTTCTCCTTATCCTAGCCTTCCGCCATAATGATTTACGGGTAAGTTTGCTATTTGTACTTATAGAAAATTTTCTCAGCTACAACAGGGCCAGAATGAATGATCAGGACCTGATTTGAATTTGATTTGGCTTGGTGAAGGAAATACGATATTTTGAACCACCCTCTAGTACTATGTTAGGCATTAAGGGGGTGGAACACTTTGAACGTCTAAAAAGTAAGGCATTTTCGTTAATTTTTTTAAGCAATAAAACACTCAGGGAGGGCAAATATGTTATAACCCATTTATTAGTCATCCTTCGAACTACAATTTGTATTTTTTTGAACTCGATTGGCGTCTCCCCGTGGCCGGTGCACCAGGTCGCGCGGCATCCTCGCGAGGAAGTCGGAAAACGGCTTGGGAAAATACGCCTTTCCATGTGATCCTGGAACATAGATCGAACAAAAATCCTGATTAGTAATGAAATTTCGGTTAGAAATACGTATTCCGATTTTTTTTTTTCATAAGTTGTGGCCTTAGGAAAAAAAAGTCCATTTTTTCACCCTCAAAATGCTTTCAAGATCGTGGATTAAAAATCCTTTTTTGACAAAATCGAAAATGTGGATTCGTATTTCTAAGCAGAATTTAATTCTGAACAAGAAAACCTAGGCGATATCCAAATTTGATGATAACTGGTTAGAGTTATTTCCCACACCAGTTTGAAAAACCCCGTTTCGAGATAAACGCGTTTAAAGATAAAATTGCTCTCTCAGCGCGCTGGTACATGTTATAGGAAATCGCTTCGTAAAGCGGTAAGGAATATTCTGGCGGACTTGGAGTCTTTTCTAAATTAAAGTATACATCCCAAGGAACATTTTAAGTAAAAAAAATGCATTTTTTTGAAAAATCAAAGTGTACTCCCCCCTTGATTTATTAATTCATATTCAAACATTACTGAAAATCCATGATCAAGCGTCGTAAGGCTTAAAATTGATTGACTGAAGTCATACGGAAACAACTAGAACGAACAGCTTTTGATTGAATTATGACTCGTCTAAAGACGAGTGCTTCACAACCACGGCTCTACATTTCGAAGTTCTAAAATGAACTCGAGTTTTGCCTCTTACATACAACGTGTTCAACGCAACATTTCTATCACCATAGTACCTTTTCGTCGTTGCTTTGCTCATAACTTTCAATGAAAGTAACGTAGATTATCGAGACGAAACGAAGTCTCCTTATGGCTTTCAATCCCTTTCATCGACACTCTATCACCGCTCTTTCAATTTGTTTAATATGCGTTATGACCCGTTTTTGTTACTTTACTTTAGATAAATATGTAGATGGAAGATAAATTAAATATGTTACGTGTAATCTTCAAGTGTTTTCACGAGAGAAATGCTTTAAATATATATTTTCATTATCCGTCATATACGTCATGAAATCTCTGTTGATGTTCTAGAATACTGCGTAACCAGTGAATTAACCGTAATTTACCCAAAACGTCGACGACATCGACCGTCGATAAATTAGCAAAACATTACTTCCGTACGACCACTCATACCTATTTTCATTTAAAACACCACTGGATTCTTCCAGCTAGCTTAGTTCAACACCAACCCTCCCCAAAATCACAATGCGTCGAACTGTTATTCAATACGTTGCACTGTTGTGTTTACTCGCTGCTTGTCAGCCTATTCAAGGTAACACATTTGCATATCGATTCCGCTGTAAAGATCGTAGGTTAATCTATGCTTAATTCCATTTGTCGTGTCAAGGCCAGCGAAGAATTTCCCAAGTAAGTAAGTACTGAGCAGTTCCCGTTAAGTTCGAAAATTAATCTCGCCGCCCAACACACAGAATGCGAACAGTATCGGAATCGTATGAAAATTAGATCGAGTGCCATATCGCTTACCATGTTCCCAATACGTTTGGAGTTTGAAGTGTTCAACTGTAGCCGCACGATAGACCTGATCGTTGGTGGTGTGGATACCAAGAAGAAGGAGTTCCCGCATCAGGCTCTGCTCGGATGGAGTACGGAAGATGCTGGAAAATATAATTTCCGCTGTGGTGGTTCTTTGATCAGCGAGCAGTATGTACTGACGGCAGCACATTGCACCGTGCTCGATGGTCAATCGCCAGTGATCGTACGCATGGCTGAAGTGAATCTGACCAACGAGTACGACAATCAAGTCGATTTCGACATCGCCAACATTACCCCTCCTAGGGTGTACTCGTTTCTTCAGTCCTATCATGATATAGCCTTGATCAAGCTGAGGCGTAAGGTTATCTTCTCGGACTTCATCCGCCCGGCTTGCCTGTGGGATTCGGCCCAATTGAATGCAACGTCGGTCATTGCAACGGGCTTTGGACACACAATGTTTGCAAGTTAGTGCTTCCAAGCAGGACATTTTTAGCAATTTTATCCATGAATTGTTCCAGGTGGCACGATGTCCAACACGCTTCGCAAGGTACAGCTGAATGCACTGGATCGGAGCAAGTGTCAGGAAGTGTACAGTATGGATCGAAAGTTTAGTCAAGGTGTCATTGAACACCAGCTGTGCTATGGAAGCAAGGAAGGCGGACGGGATACATGCCAGGGTGACTCCGGTGGGCCGATTCAGGTGCTTACGGATTCGGCGGATTGTACCTACTACGTTGTGGGAGTTACCTCATTCGGTGTATCGTGTGGTACTGCAAACACACCGGCAATCTACACCAGAGTTGCCAGCTACATCGATTGGATCGAGAGCATCGTGTGGCCGTGATGGGAGAAAATTGATCAAATGCTATCATTTATCGTGAACAAGGGAAATTAATATTCATTGAATGCATTCGTGTATTAGTGAAAATTCTGAAAATTCATCTCGGTTGACAATTTATAATTGACAAAGTTACCTATAGAATCGTCAGTAACGGGTATCATTGGGAAGAAAATCGGTACGTACCTGAAACGAGAAATACAATAAACGAATTAATTAATGGTTTTTCAGTTTAATGAGAGTGTGAACGTGGTAAGCTCTACTAACATCATTATGAGAAATGGCCATGAGGTAGAAAGCCTTCCATTATTTTCTCCCGCAGAAATCTATTTTCGATGCCACAATTATGTGTGCACACTTCAGAGGGACCAACTGGTGAACCTTTAAATGTACTTGCTCGAGTTGTTCCAGCATCAATTCAGCAGTAGGTCCTTCGAGTCCTGCTCATACTCCCATGCCATTTACATTTTTTTTTCAAGACATGGCTCATTTGCTCAAAATATACGCTCACTCAGTAAATTTCCTTCTTCCTTAAAAATGGCAAAAGAATGCGAAACCATTTTTTCTCGACCTCCCCACCGCTTCAACCTTGTTTTATCCCCCGGATTATGCAATAGCGAACAATTTATCCAGAAGAAGAATGCTATTTTTAAATTACACTTTATCGAGCAGAAGAAAAGCACCGAAAGCACATGCACCCGCTCTCCCATTCAGTAAATTTATTGCATGACCGAAATAGATGTCTCTGCCACTTTGCCGGAAAAACATATGCGCCCCGTACCACCACATACCTCCGCCGGTTTTAATACTTTCTTCCATTTCGAGTACTCTTTGGTGAGCCGGATAAAAAATTCTCACCCAATGGAGTGAGAGTGGAACGGAAATCTAATATTCTAAAACCATCATCATCATCATCATCATCATCGTAGTCGTCGTCGTTATCAAATACAGCATTTCGCAATCGACTGAGTTGTACCGTAATTCGAGTCGAGTACCGGAGTGGAGACCGGAAATGAATTTTCGATTTGTAGAAAATTTGCTTCTCTCCTGGAAATAATATTATTATTTGTCATCATTCATGTCATCATTTTGTCATGGCACATAGGAAGAGAGGAACTATAGAACTCATGTTGTGGTCCCTTGGGAGCACGGAGGGTAGTTTTAAGTCTCGGTACCATCTACTCTCCGAGGGCAGAGGCAAATAAATTGGCTTCCATAAATGTAGCAACGTGATCCGATTTTAAAAAAGCTCGGAGATGATGAACGATGATGGAAGGAATGTTATGGGGCAGAAGTGATTCCTTGCGCTTTTATACGGTAGGAGCTGGTTTGTTTGGACTGACAGGGATTTCAAAGTCGTTCGTCGTCGGACGGACGGACAGGTTGTTTCCAATCCGATGGGAGATTTGCTGTACGTCGTCGTGAAAGGCGAGGTGTGGTTCACTGTACGGAATACATATGTGACAACATCGTCTGATTGCATTTTTGCTGTCTTGAACTATGAAATACGGTGAATGGAATGAGGTACACAGTATCGGGCTGTCGCTTTTAGTTCGATGACGCTGTCGCTTCCGTTTGGGAGTATAGTTTATGGGGTTCTGGCATTTCGTTGGTGTTATTCTTATACAATAATTTTTACTAACCCATCATGTACATTAAACTGATGCAACGTTTGAAAGTTTCGCTCCATGGCAGCGCTCAATCGGTTTCAAATTGGGTCCTGATCAACTTCCCAAAATTTTAACTCATTTGATAAGAAACTTACTTGGTACAAACCATTTAACGTTTATATGGAAATTACTATGGAAAAACCAAACTTTTTGTTCATTGTCCTTTATCATTTTTCCATATTGCACTGTTAAAAAGTTCTATAATTACTCTTATGGGAAATTTTCTCAGCTACAACTTTGCGAAATAACGTTTTTCAGCAAACGTCAAATTAAATAGTTATGAATTGTACAAGCGATTGATATTCTTATAGCATGATCAAGCAGCTGTTTTGTGGGCAACACTGCATTGTGCAGTGTGACATAGTAGCCAAGAATTAGCCTGCTGAACCGTTGATTGTGCATAATAATAAGATATCACTGACATGAATTATTGACAATTTTTTATTGGAGGTGAACCAGCCCAAGGCTGAAAGCCTCCTCAATAAAGCTAAATAATAATAATATTGATAATTTTTGTTTTTTACATTTGATAGAAAAGTTGTCTTGAACAAAGTTGTAGCTGAGATAATTTCCTACAAACTCAGTTATCATTTTTTTAAACAGAGTGAAACGGCGAATTTTGAAATAGATATGAACAAAAAATAGGGTTTCCATAGGTATGTAGTAAAATTTAGGAAGGCTAATACGGACCCGATTTGAAATCAGTTAAGCAATGTGGAGCAACAATACATTTCCTAAACTTACAACTCCCATAAAGAATCTTTTTTTGATAAATGACGAAGAATGCAAGCTGAAAAATACATCAATTAATTTATACTTAGAGTATTCTGTGGGTAATAAAGACAAATAACGAGTATTTTACATTGGCGTAGCTAATGAGGGTGGCAAGGGGGTCAGCTCCTTTCCAGACTTATCTAGCTCCCCCCAGAATGTTTGGTGATTTTTTTCTGACTCAGCGATTCATAAAATTGGATCACAAACAAATATTTTATTAAAGTCCTTTATGTTGACTTCTTTTCTTATGTTATGGACTAGAAGGAACAATTTTGATAAATTATATTATATCGATATTTAATCTATGGCATAATAAGACGTCTTCAAGCTCTACAAATTGACCATGAGCCCATATTTTTTTTCTTATATCGTAGGAATTGAGGAAACTGAGAAGAATTGTGGGAACTTCATGAATCTTCAGAAACATTCGTTGAAACAGGGAGCTTGGAAAGGAGCTTCGTAGCACGGAGACAGGGGAACATTATTCTATTTCAGGGAAGCTCATTATTAATTGAAATGCTCTGTATAAATTGAGGGCTTATTTTGGACTTGAAATAGTTGTGGAAATTAGCATAGCATAGCATAGCATAAACTAGGTTGCACAATGTCGTAGGTGGTACGAGCTCCAAACTGTTGAGACCCACTTTCATCCGTTGCTGTTAGATAGTAATTTGTGATTAATTACTACCTTTTAGATAAAGGATGTGTCTCCCTCCAACAGACCAGAGCTGTCCTGGCCACGTCCTTGCATCTGGGGTGGAATGTTAGTCCGACACTTACTTAAGAGAGATGCAGAGAACTCTACGACCCCTCAAAAGTGTCACGAGAAGGGTGGATTTTTGTTGGTAGGGAGGGTAAGCCATGGAATAGGCAATCGTTAAATCAAGCATTTAATAAATAGAAGCTGTAAGTAGTTTATCTGTCCGTTGTTGCTGCCCATTACCTAAACATATTATTCAAAACAGTCTTCAGATTTTGGAATTAAGAAACGTTATCAGCTCGATCCTGTTGCTCCTTTGCGCCTGAAAATGTTTGTTGATCCTAAACATATGCACAATTCATTCTGTCTGATCGATAGAAGGTTCTCACGTGTAAAAGGTTATTAATAGTATGTGGAACCGTAGATTAGAAGATTCGCCCTTGGCCTAACTCCCACTGTCTGGCAGTGGCATTATGGATAAAATCTGCCTGCAATCATTTCTTATGAATGCAAGAAGCTTGAACCCGGGAGTTAGAAGGTGACAGCTCTACCGTAGCTACAATAGCCCATTTCAAGAACGCAAGCATTCCGAAGCCACTTTCATACATGATAAGCCCCGCTCCAATACATTATCGATGCAAATATACACAATATACAAATTGATAATGTACTGAAACTTTCAATCAAGCAGTAGTGCAATATTTGATTGACGCGTATTTAGTAAGTTTTGAAATGATCGTCTTGAATTAGATGGATATTTCCTTTCGAGGACAGAGGAACGAAAAGGTAAATAAACTTAGCTGAGCGTAGCTACGCGTAGGTTAGAACAATCGGCACCACATGCAACGGATAGGCATTTGAAAATTTTCACTTAATGCACTTTTCAACATCACTTCTGTACTTTAAAATTATCAATTTTTAAAATATGAAATTGTAAATTTATAACATTTTCACTAGAACGAAAACGACGCAGCAAAACAAATACACGTCATTTTTTCAGCTCAGCCTACTTCGATCGTCCGCTTGAAATAGTTGTGGAAATTACGTACAAATTCAAGAAATTTCGTTCGTGAAACATCGCGGAAAGTCATCGAAAAACGTAGAAGTGCAGCAAACTTTGAAGAAGTTTTGCGAATTTCGTAGCATTTTGAAGAGCTGCGTGAAACTTCATATAGGTGGAATTTTTGAATCAGTTCAGGGAATTTTGTAGAAGATCTAAAAATAGTTCAATAAACTTCTAAGAACTTCAGGGATCACGCTTTGCAGTTTGTCAGAGATCTTACTTCAAAAAAGCTCCATGAGCTTCTTGGAGGTTTTAGGAAATTCGTTTAGGTTCAAAGAACTTTCTAGATGTTCAGGAATATTTGTAGATGTCTTAGGTGTCATTCCAGAAGTGCAAAGATGTTCAGAGATCTTCATAGAATTAAGATAGATGGAAAACTATGGAATTTGGAATAAATTCAGGGAGCTGTAGATGTTGAAGAAATTTTGTAAAACTTAAGGGAGTTCTATAGATGATCAGGAAACGTTGCATAAGTCACAGGATATTCTTTCAGACATCCTTCCTAGACAGCAGGAAACACACTGATGTCTTTTTTTACACGGTTTTTACGCGGTTTTTTTAAACGGGTTTTCTCGGATTTACCCGGTACGTTTTTAACGATTTCTCGACAACGATACATCCTATCGACTTGATTCCAATCACATTATCCGTTTCAAGCTATAGGTAATCGAATAACATACTTAAAAAAAATCTCAATTTTTGGTGTAAATACAGACATTTTTAAAATATGTCTATATGGACCATAGCATGCTGTAATTACAAATGGCATCAAAATCCGATTTTTTAAAAACATTTAACCGTGTGAAAAATCAAAATTTCGGTGGAT